TTTTTTTTTTATTAGGTTGTTGTTCTGATTCAACATCACTATTATTTATAGTTGATACTTCACTATCACTATCAAGTGTTGATATTTCGATATTATTATGAGTTGCTGACATCGTATCAATAATAAAAAACAATTTGAATTTACATATAATCAAAAATTTATATAAAATATTTAGTTTATTATTTTCCAAATTTAGTGAACAATCCGTATAATCCATATAATAATGATGATCATTCTTTAAATCCGTATTATAATATAATCCGGATAATTCTAAAATATACGGATTTATTATTTGCGGATCATATCTTTACATTCAGTTAGGAAGTGAACAACCCCGGGATCACATAGTATTAAATTTTCTTCGAATAACGTGGATTTAGCTTTTTTGCAAATTGCCTCATAGATTGATCGAGCAACAAAATATTCAAATAAAGATTTATGGATAAATCGATATTGGTTACCATTACGACTTAAAGGAGAGTTGTAACGTAATAGACGTGTCTTCGGGTCTTCATATCCAAAGAATTTAGTACGCCAATCGGTGTGGATTTGTGAGTCCGAATATATTACTACCACTTCATTAGTCTTAAACATTTCGACTGCCAAGTCTTTGTTAAATCGGATACAATGTCGCGTGAAATCATTTTCTAAGAATGCAAAGGCATTATCTTCATCCTCTTTTAATTGAATGCGTCTTAAACGTATTTGGGATCTCTCGAACCATTTTTCCACAAATTTATCATGTAAAGTTATACGTGTTATATTTTTTGCCGGGTCCTCATTTTCTTGCAAACATATTAAGTCTGGCACGAATTGCAATTTTTAAAATAAAAGGGTTATTTAACAGGCTCTCTGAATTAGGAAAACTCTTTAAAGCGGCTTCATAACTTTGTGCATCCCATATCTTTTGTAAGACATCCTTTGGCTTTTCGGCATACTTTTTAATATATTTTCGAATTTCTTCTCAAGAAAAAGGTGCTACCCATATTTTTTGAAACAACTTAAGATTATTATATGGGGTAAATTTTTGTTGATAATTTGTGCCTAAATATTCTGGTCGACAACTGATAATAACCTTGACGTTCCACTCGCGAAGTTTATTTTTATCATAAAAATTTGTCCGACGGTCTTTGATCTATCTCATCATGTCCATCTAATATAAACACGAACTTACAGTTTTGTCTCAAGTTTTCAATAATTTCCTCAGAAAATCTTCTATCTTTTAAATATTTTTGAAATATTTTTTCATTAGGATTATCTATAGTAGGAAGTGAAATAAATAAAGGAATGGGTTTTTTATCATATAAGTCATCTTTTAATAAATAATCCTCCCAAAGACGTCGGGCAAGATAACGGTTAAAAGTATACTTTCCCGCACCAACCTCGCCTAGGAGCAGTAGAACTTTTTTTTCTGAATCCAAGAAAGTGTTAACTTCGGTTTCTAAATCAAAAGAGTTCGTGACATTTAGGGACCATTTTCCCTTTGGAGGTACATACAATCCTAATGCATGTTTAATTTCTTCGTCTTGTTGAAGCCCACTTAAATATTCTTCTTTAATTTTGCCTAAATGCTGCGATAACCTAATACGAGCTTCAATTATCAATCCGGAATTAACTTCAGGTACCTTTGCAGAATTTATTCTGTATGGAATAAATTTAGCAGAACTGAATGTATTATCATTAGGGGCTACTTTATTGATCATTGTTTTAGCATAATTTTTTAAGTTTTCGTCGTCTTGGACCGTTAACTGTCACAATATTACCAATATCTATCTTCTAACTTCCAAATTTTGTACCCACTGGTCTTTATTTTGATAAATATCACCTAAAAATCTAATCTCCCCTTGTTGTATCATTAAATTCCGTTGTGTACAGGCAATCTGTCCTAAGCGTTGGCACAAGCCTATTAAAAACCATTTACAGTATTATTTTTATAAGGACCATGACGAACAAATTGCTCAAGCTTTACCTGCTGATTTTCATGGAGAAAGATATCTACAAATCGCAGGGCTAAATACCATTGCCTTGTTTGTTCAAATTCCAATTCCATTCCTTGACGGGCATCCTCTATTCCTTCTTTTAATTTTTGACTCGTTTCGATTAACTCTTGAACGTGACTTACAATTTCATCAAAGCCTTCAAATTCCTCGCTAAAATCTTTAAAGGTATTTAGTAATTTACTTGGATCTAAATTTTTGACGGCATTGGCTAAAGTTGTAACCCCAGTAATTACTTTTAAAGTTCGACGCATAACTTCTTGCCATAATTTTTTCATTCGAGATATATGATAATGCCTGACAGGCATAGTGAACGTGATAAGCTAACGCCGAATTATCTTTTAATTTTTTTAACTGTTGATATAATGGCACATGCAATTTTGAGCGACTTATACCTTTAATGCCTACTCGCACCATGGCATATAACAATGGACAGATTATTTGTAATAATTCACAGAGTTGGGTCTCGTTATCTTGCTTATGCAGTTCTTCCAGATTGGTATGTAGGATTCTTGATATTGCTACTTAACTCTCGGTGCTAACCTCCCCGTTAATCAAGAGGGAATTAGGCATGTTTTTTAATCATTTGAGTTAAACCAATCAATTCTCAGAATGTTGCAGTGCTGATTTTTTTAATTTCATTAATATTTAGTTCCTATTTGGAATAGATGCTAAGACAACAGCTTCACAGATCATATCTTTTGTTTTGAATTTTTTCCGAACAAACAGTCCAATAATCTCTTGTGCCAATTATATTAGTTGTGGCGCCTGTTCCTAGGTATTGTTATTAGCTCAGCATTTTCAGCAATGAGGTTACTGGTGTCTGTTTTATTTATCTTTTCTAGCTCCTCGAATCTGGACTTGAGCTCGGAATTTGCTTATATAGCTTGCTTCAATTTTGTATTCTCGGCCTTGACCTCAGCGTTTTCTTTTCTAAGCTCGGAAATTGTGGCAATGAGTTGGGAATTTAATTCTTGCAACGAATCTATTTTTGATTGAGTGTCTGACATTGTTTATACAAGATGTGGATATATTCAAAAGCTTATTAAAATCACATGACTCTACTTTCACAACTTTCTCGGTAAGAAAACAAAAAATCTCGATCATTTATGGTATCAATGAAAATTTTATCACTTGAATTCAGCCTTTCAGGTAAATAATACATTTAATATGAGCATTATAACTATTTATATCTGTGCAAGAACTCATGAGTGGACAGAGAGAGGATGTGATAATAAAATTATGGTACTCATCACTTTTCGCTTTCCTGGAATTAGTGGGGCGTAAACACTCTCATGATTGTGCTTCGAATTAAAAAGAAATCAATTGAGATAGGATCTGGAAGACCTCCAGGAATTGCGACAGAATGATGTACATTGTGGTATAGACAACTCAATGCAATGTTTATCACATGTGCATCTCGTATAAAAATCAAAAGATTTCCATTCCCATCAACTGTGCCGAATTCAAACTAATTATCAATTATAATATTAGATTCTGATATTAGCCAAAAATAACATCAGTGTAGTCTAACATTACCGTAGTTCTAGCAGGAAATGTGGATCTTGTTCTTCTATCTAAAACGCAATAATGCCATGCCTGCAATAAATTAAAATTTTTTAGAATATTATACGAACATTAAGGTTGCCAAACTGTGTAAAGACAACTTACTATCATACGAGTAGGTACTTGACCATTAGGAACCGGGTCAATTTTTACAACAATGGCATCGTGGGCACGGTCAGGCTTTAGCCAGTAGTTCTTCACCTTGTCTGTAACGTGATCCATTGTCTCGGAATATGCAACTTCGATAACAAGATTTGGCCAAGGGCGAGTCTAAAGATAAAACTATAATATGAAACCTCCAGTTTTTGAACGGTTCAGTGGAAAAAACACAATGTACCCCTTTATCAATTCCGTTTGGATATTCTACTTCTGGTTTATCCGGACGAAATGAATTGTCGGCCTCTTTTGCAGAACCATCAGCATAGGTCCCTTTAGCAATTGAAATTAGTATCAAATGGGTATAAAGCAAAGAAAATTAATGAATCGATGCTTACGAGTTGATCCAAGACTAAAAATCTGAGCAGGGGTCCACTTAACATTTCTACAAGCATCCATTATTTCTTCGGAAATCGCACTGATGCCAATTTCGTGCGGTTCTGAGGGCAATTCATAAATTATGACATCGCCGTTGATCCATTCCCAATATCCACGGATGTTAAACTCGTCCGTCCGCTTTTCATATTCCTCTAAGGTGACACCAACTGTAAGTTTGTACGGAAGTCTTGATACGAATTGCAAAAATTGGTTTACATTTTACTAGATCATAAAAAACTCAATCAACGTCAAAACGAACTTACGTTACTTCTTCCCACATAGCTTTTTGATTAAAATCCCCTTTCTCCCACCAGAGAGCTCGATAATAATGATAATTTGGCATTCTTTTTTGAACAACATCTACGCTGTCGCTAAAGAATAGCTCTGGAAAATTAGCCGAAAGATTAGAGAAATACTAGTTACACATATTTACTAACATTACTAAAAGTTCGAGCAAGGGAAGATCCATCCAAGTTGATATATGTTGCCATTTTGGTTTCTAAGATAAAAAAATTTTCCCACGACACGATTATAATGGAATTCAGACGTGACATTGATGTCACTGGCGTAGTAATGTGGCGCAGTGACGATCATATTCTACTTTAAAACTTTGACTGGATGTGTTTTTAAAAAATGCTAGGGTATGTGCTAGAAGTAATAAGCCGAATTTGAAGGTTGTTTTTACTTTTTAAGAATGGATTATTTCTGTTAGTCAGTATGCTTTGTTAATTTATTTGAGATAGTTTCTAGTTGATAATAAGAGTTTTTTTGTATATTTATTAATGTATATTGAATGGAAAAGGTGTTAATAATGTTTATTCGATAGAGTAGTATTTATTAATTGTGTTTTTAGTATTTTTGTAGTGGATTTATAGAACAATAAAGGAATTTGAAGAGTTTGTATTATATTATTGATATTTGTAATTGTTGAAAAATAAAGAAACATGTATTTCTTCCTGTAATTGGCAGTGGTAGAAAAGTTTTGTTGTTAATTTTAGAATGTTTTTTGTTTTTTTAGTAAGTAGTATTATTATGATTATATGAAATAGAGCTAAAAATGATTAAATATTAAAATATATGATAAATAATTTATAGTATTGTATATAATTCCAAGTAACTGTAGTAATATTAATATTGAGTTTGAATATTAATAGAATTCAAATGAAAAGTTCTAAAAGCTAAAAAAAAATTTAATAATTTTTTGAAATATTAAAGAGAGATGTTTGTTTTTAAGTAAGTTAAATAAATTTAGGAGAATTATTATTTGTAGATTATTTGTAATTATATTAGTTTATAAGAAGTTATGAAGGTCATTTTTTGTTATTTCTGTTTTGAATATATTATTTATAAATAGTTTGATAAAGAGATTAAATAAATTAAATAAATAAGAATTTGCATTTGTATGTATTAATATAAATATTAAAAGAGTATCTATTGTATTTTAAAAGTATTAGAAATTTGTCAAGATTTTGGTTATCAAATGTCTTGTACTTGATTAGTAGATTATTTTTGTTTGTTTTTTGCCAATAATATATTGTTAATAAGGATTGTAATTTATTTATTTTTTTTTAATTGATTGAATAGGAATTGTTTCTGTTTGATTGTATTGTTATTATAAAAGGATATTATATTAGAGAGTGATTTTTCCTTAAGGATTATATTTCAGCTTGGCTAAAAGATATTACCAGTTTGTAATTTTGTTATTATTGTAGTTGAGAAGTTATTTGATATAAAATAAGTTTTTATTGATAAATTATTTAACAAATGGTTTTCAGTTTTTATAATAAGAAAAATAATAGTATATAGGAATTGTTTTTTAAGAGAGTTTGTATGCACAATTAGATTTTGAGCAAAAGATTATTTTGTAGTAGTGAGCTAGAAAAATAATGTATATTTTAGTGTTATGCTTTATAATTTGTTAATTTTAAAAGATACAAAAGGTTGGCAATTGTAGTTTTGAATTACTAGTATTTCTGTTTATTTGATTAATTTAATAATAGGATTTGTTTATGGATATTGAAGATTAAAAATAAGAACTTTATTTTGGAAGTCATTAATTGATTTGATACTAAATATATATAAATTGTAAAACCATATTTGAGAAAGTGTTTTTTTAATATTAAATTTGTATTTAATTGTTGGATCAATTTTTTTTAAATATTTTTAAATATGTTTGAAATAAGAAAAGTTGTTTATAATTATAATTCTATTTATGAAAGAAAAACTTTTTTGTAGATATAAGTGATTATATAGCTATTATAAATTTTGATTTGAGTTTTTGTACTATTGTTTTGATATCTTCTATTATTTTATTATAGTTGGAAATAAGATTACTATATTTAGATAACCAAATGCTTAGTATTTATATTGGTTTATTTTTTTTGGATTAGTGTAATAATAATTGTATCTTGATATATATTTGTTTGTTAAATGTTTTACTGTTTATTATAATTAATTTGATTTGATAAAATTTGATTTGATATTATTAAGAAAAAAGAATTTGGTTGCTATATTAATATTATTTTATAATTTATTTTTTGATGTTGCAAATAATAGTGTTGTGTTTGAGTTATAATAGTTGTTAGGTTAATGTCATTATTAAAAAGTTATAAAAAATGATTTACTAAAGTAGTAAGGATATTTTTTTTGATCAATATTATCTGAAATAGTGATATATTGTATAAAATTATAGTCTGTAATTATTTGACAGGTGTAGTTTGTTTTTTTTATATTATATAAAGTGATAAGTATCAAAAAAATGAAAATTCTGCTTTTAGTTTTAAATTTTCTAGTCTTATATTTTCAATTTTTGCAGAGATCTGATCATAATTTAACATGTTGATTCTTATTAGGTTTTTTTTTACATCCTATTATCAGTTCACACAACTATAATACATATAAACTTACTAATTTACACTTTCTAGTAAATGCTTCAAGAGTTGTTTTTATAGTTGGCACATACTATCAGATATGGAGACTACAGGCCAAGTGAAATGTGATTTTCAAATTCTTTAGCAAATATTTTATAGATTATTGGTTGACTTAAGCTATCAAATTTAGAGATACAAATACCAAGCAAGGTGTAACTTCTATAAAGTAACCAAGGCAACCTTTATATATTAGTGCTAGGAATTATGAAAAACTGAATTGAAACTGTATGCACAATCTGACAGTTAATCGATATTATGTATATTGTTAAACCTAAAAGTTTAACTTTTCCGAAATAGAAAATTTCATACCAAACATCAATCTAACACATTAATTCGCTAATAATAGACCTATAGTATTTTTATTCGCTGAACAACTTTACTTAGAACCCGGAAAAAGGTTTCAGTCACCACTTTTGCGATAATTAAGGATTTCAGTCAAACGTTTATAGTATCCAATTAAAATATATTGTTATATCACATGATCAAGTGATAATCCCCTAAGTTATAAAAAAAAAAAAAACTCTTTCCCGTAAATCATTTTTCACCTGAAAATTTCCTTATTTGGTAATAGTCTTCTCAAGAA